AGAGAAGTCTGCACAGTCTTCTCTGGCTCCACAGCTTCAGGCATTCCCTTTTATCTGTTTCTGGAGGTGGGCTGAGTCTACAAGGGCGTGAAGAGGAAACAAATTTACTGTCTTCATCAGCTTGGTGCGGTTAACAGATTTTTGCCAAATTGTTGACTCCACCCAGAAATACGCTTTGCAATGCAGAAGGGAATAAAAGAGCAAGAGCATTGAAACAGATCTCAATGAGTAAGTGGACTCTCATATCTTTATGGCATCTGGGAAAATATGTTTTACAGTGATGTAGTCATGTTCCTCCTTCCTCCCACCTTTCTATCTGTTCTTAATGATTTCGCAGTTTGTCTGAGTCTGGGTCTTTCGCACTGACGCTCAACGTCAGGCAAGCATTTTGGTGAAAACCAACTAGAATGAGACTTTCACAATTCCCCCAAGCACACCCCAAATCTCTTTCTTAAGTGGAAAAATGCTGATGGCTTTCCAAGCGGCAGTTTCCCAATGAAGAGCAAAAAAACCACACATTAACATTTAAGAGCAGTCAGCATTTCTTTTTTCTCCGGAAAGGAGGTGCTTAGTTCCTTTCCTAAGAGCATCAGTTAGGATGAGAGTGCCTCCTTCAAGGACACATTTCTGCAAAATTTGTCTCCCAGAGTCTGGGATAACCAGGTGCCAAGGCTCTCAGCACCAGAGTGGAATGAGCAAGAGAACAAGGATGTCCAGGCTCCTTCCTTGTGCTTTTCAGATGGCCGCAGGGATTGCCGAACCTGCAGAGGACTGAAAGGACACCTCGGGCACGAGATGTGGTAATGATGACTGAAGGCAGACAAACAGCAGAGAAATGCAGGCAGGGATAACAGGGACTTGTTGAAATAATTTTTTTTTACTTAAGTTGGTAGGCAAATGATCAGGCTGCGTTCATTATACTTGATCATTTTGAAATAAGGGGCAACTAAAAGGTAGAAGAAGCTCTGGTGCTTTCTTAAGTAATAACATTAAAGTATTGCTGTATATGAAGTGTGCTTTAAGAGCATCTTTGCCCACATCTTTGACCACAGTAAATTTGGGGTGGGGGAGGGAACGGGTGCTGACCAAATTCACTTTAGAAAAATGTATTTTTGAGACAACAGCTGCTGCTTCAAACTTGAAAACAATAATATTTCATTTCATGCACAAGCTCTCTGGCTATGAAGTCGGTAGTTCACCTAAAAGGCATCTTGCAGGTATCTTCTGGGTCTCATTAATCAAATACACATTTTAGTTGAATGTATGAAATTTAAGAAAAAACCCCAATCTTTTCCCAGTCCTTAGTCCCTGAAAATCATCAATGACTGTCAAGGGAAATATATTTTAAAGCCTTCTAAGCGTTTCAGCAGTCCAATATAATACTATATTTAAGTTTCCAGAATGTGATATACATGTGTTTCAATTTTCACAATCACCCATAAGACTTGGGCAACTAAATGTTGTTTGAAAGTATCACTAGGTACCAGCCTTCACCCACAGACACTTCAAACCCTTCGAAAAACCACCCCACAGAGTCACTTTCAAAGGACAGGAAACAAAAAAGAAAATGCCATTGAGTGTCCCTGAGAGGGAGGCTGCCTGACACCACAGTCTCTTCACAGAACGGGGCACAGGGGAGTGGAGGACGTTACCCTTGAGGGACTCAAGTCACGGTTGGCCAAGGGTTGTTCTGCCCTTGAGGGACTCAAGTCACGGCTGGACAAGGGTTATTTTGCCCTTCAGGGACTCAAGTCATGGTTGCCCAAGGATTATTCTGCCCTTGAGGGACTCAAGTCACGGCTGGACAAGGGTTATTTTGCCCTTCAGGGACTCAAGTCATGGTTGCCCAAGGATTATTCTGCCCTTGAGGGACTCAAGTCACGGCTGGACAAGGGTTATTTTGCCCTTCAGGGACTCAAGTCATGGTTGCCCAAGGATTATTCTGCCCTTGAGGGACTCAAGTCATGGTTGGACAAGGGTTCATCCTACCCTTGAGGGAC